ATCCACCAATGAATTAATGTGCCAACTCATCGGTGCTTAGGATAAGATGAACACCGGTGCTCATTAGATCATTTCTGTATATATATATATATATATATATTGTGTATGTGTGTGTGTGTTATATTGGGTAATATGAATTTTGTTAATAAAAAATAAATAAAGCCTAATCAAAAGTGAGCATAAACAATTTCTTCCAATATTAACAAATCCTAACTTTCTAATCATTTTTTCCATTCCTTCATCAAGAAGACATTATTATTGGATTCATCATCCATTTTGAGAGATTAATATATTACAAATTATTTATATTTATATTTTATAACTTATTACTTTTGAAATGTTGAATACAATATAGTCATATTTATTCGAAATTTCCGAAATTATTATTCATTGATTTGTTTGTTTTTTCAAATCTTTTAGAATAAAGATATCGATATCTTCTACAATATGTTGTGTAAGATTCCATATGTAATGAAGTATTGAGTTATTCATTGGGAAGATGTTATCATATTGTAATTGTGAATTGATTATCACCATTAATGTTTTGAATAATTTCTTCCGATCAAACCCAATAAATATTTTGAAGGATTGTCTCTTTAATGATTTACTGTGCAAATTATTTAGGAAGAAAAGTTTGTCGTTCGGTGGTACAATATTGATGAACACACTTAAGTAATGAAGAATTTTTTCCAATCACCCACATATATGTTTCCATCCTACATTTAGAAACTATCATATTAGATATTTCAACCGTTGAACTTGACATTTCGAAAATCGTGGGATAGACATTTCAACTATCAAATTTAACACTTGAAAACTGTCAGGATAGACATTTCAACTGTCGATTTAACCTTTTTCTATTTTATGAATTTAATATTCGAATGTGTCACTTTCACACTATTAAATGCCGACATATTGATTGTGCAGAATTTTTACCATTGCAAGCTCAACTTTTCATGTATGAGTAATCATTTGAAATCGATCGTGTCGAACGGGAGAAAGTTTGTTCAAGTGGATGAAGAATGTAAGTGGATAGTGTACAAAACCACTTCCATTGTAGTTCTGACAAGTATTACCCTAGTCGGACTTGTGCTACGGTTGAAGGACAAACTTGGTATTCATGATCTTCGCACTCAAATTGAATTGAAGTTCAAATTCCCGAACATGAATATACCTCCGGCTGAAATACGCAAAAATGAAAACTTAAATTGGTACATATAAGTTCATAAAGAAATTGCTATACGCATTACTATTTTGGAAACCGAGCTTCCAATTGTTGATATGGAAAGGGATATAAATTTCCAAAATCTTTCATTTGTCGTGGCAAATGTTCACTGAAACGTACAACATGATGAGGTCGATCAAGTGCAAAGTGTCTCAAATGATAATGCACCCCGAAACATTAATTTTTGATATTAGGCCTGCACCATCAAATGAGAACTTGGATAACCCATTATTTCATGTTCACACTTGATGAGCAAACAATTAATTAGACAAAATTAGTTATAGGCATTAATCATGCAAAAATAGTACTACATGCATAGTAGTTTATTAGACAACATATTTCATTACCTACCAACAGTTCAACTGTCGGTTCCGACAAATTGTATGAGTAATTCTCGACAGTTCATTGCAAATGAGTAAAGTAGACTGAAAATTCGGGCGTAATGGATATTCGGATACACACCATTATGTATATACGTTGCCACGTGAATCCCTGACAGAAACTAGAGATCATAAATATAGTCGATCACCTAAGCATAAAATTGTTGCAAAATTAACAAATTTAACTATGTTACCGATGAATTTCCTCTAGAAGCACACAACGTTTAAGTGACAGTTACACCAAAATGAAACATTTGTGAGCATCACTACTAGGAACTGTAAAACAAATCTAAAATAAAAAGCTACACAAAAATAAAATACTATCACGATATGTTTCCATTGTGAAATAAACACAGCCAAAAGTTCTATCTCATCATTAACTACTCAGAACAACAACTATGTTATTCTTGAGAATATGTGACTATATCCCCTAGTTAACGCCTACAAAATATCTGATATGTTACTTCATTTAACGTTGCTTAACTCTCTTTCTGCTCCCCCTTGTGAATGGAGTTCTAGTCGATGCAGCAGATACTCGAACACGTGTCGAGTGTCACCTATTTGTGTTAACGTCATTGTCACCTTGAACGGGTATGGTTGATGCCAATGGTACATCAGTGTGTAATCCTATACAAAAGTGGTTTATGTATATTAGTTACCAAAATTTAATAATGGAAGAAAATAAAAGTTTCTACCAAAATGTGAAGTATAACATCGAAATGATACATTTGTTTTCAACTAAACATAATGCAAAGTGACATTGTATAACTTCTTCATTACGAAACTTACCATCCACCTCCATTACGCCACAAGAATAGGGAACTTCGTAACTGTCCGGACATGTACCTTCTGGGTCGACACCTTCATACGAAACAATCAAATTTCAAATGACAAGATTAAGAAATACAAACAGTTGGGCAATTACTTTTTAAAATGAAAGTAGTAACACATACCAATTGCCTCCTTTACCTTGCTAGCCGATGGACCCTCTAGTAGTGTGGGGGTACCACCTTTTGGGTTGACATCTTCATACGAAACAATCAATTTTGAAATCATAAGGCTTAACTCCAAACAGTATGATAAATGCTTTTTTAAATTACAGTAGTAACACATACCAATCATCTCATTTACCCAACTATCAGATTGACCCTCTAGTAGTCCGGGCAAGCACCTTTTAGGTTAGTGTCTTCTCCATCTAGAACCACAGTTTATCTCTACAGATGGTTCCATAACTGTGATGTTTATATTTCATGAAGTTATAATGGTGCTCGGATAATGATAGGCATACAAGGGATGTTTTGAAAAATCATATAAAATATTTTTAGGAAGTAAAAAATACTATATAAAATGAAAAAGTGACATAATCTCACTTTTTTAAAAAAAAAGTAACACAAACTCAAAAAATGTGACAAATACTAAAAAAAGTGATAGAAATCAAAAAAAGCATATTCCACTTTTGATTATCGTACACAAAAAAAGCATATTCCACTTTCCTACCAAATCTCACTCTATTTTGGTAACTATTAATAAACCACAATTAGATCATCCATCTATTTACAAAGTAAATCGGTGCTCCAACTATAAGAAAGAGCAACTTATCCTACAGCTAATGAAAAACTGTGATATGGTCCTCAAACTATTTGAATACATCATTCTAGCCCTTCAACTATATGTAAATAGTGAATTGGCTATACAACTATATCAGCACAAAAATTTCATCATCTGATTAATTAAAAACAAATTTTGATCATATAAATATTTTAAACTACAAATTAGCCTCTAACTTCTGAGAAGCAACAATTCATCATCCAACTAGTAAATACAACAATTCAGTCCTCTACTAATTAGAAAGTAGGCTGTGTTTGATTTGGGCTGTTTGATAGCATTAATTTTCTTAGGAAAATCTTTTCTTGGTTGGCCTCCCACGCGTCACTTTTCCAGGATTTGAAGGAATTGGTTTTCTTGCC